TGCATGGGAAGTAGTGCTCATTCTACACTTAAGCAATTTGAAATTAGTCTAGGATGATCAAAAAATAAGTGACAAAGTGAACACATAGCTAGAACATTAAGTAACATTTTCTTCATTTAAGCATTTTGCAACAAAGTGGCAAAGTGTTTTTTCGTCATTTAAACTATCTTCCTTTTTTTTTTTTTTTTCAATTCTTTGGTCTCTCCTTTACAGAATCTTCTAGTTCCAGAGTTTACTTTGTGATCAGCTTTGGTTGGTGTTGTGGATTTATTGAATTTATTTTGTTCTAGAGTTCCCATTATACTTCCTTGTAATAAAATACATTTTCTTCATTTTTAAAGTAACCATTACACTTCCTAACCCAAGTAAAAAATTGTTAGCATTGTTTTAAATAGATCATATGTGTCATGGAATTGTTAGCATTTTTAGCTTCGCCAAGGCTTTAAAAATGCTCAAGTAAATGAAAAGCGACTTATATCCGTAAGCACAGCTGTACCTGAACTAAATAAAAACAAATGTCTGAATTAAATAGTACGAAGAGGAACTAATTAAATACTGCCATCAGGTATCCGAAGATCATATAATATTTTATTTATGTGAAACAAAAAAAAAATATATCAAAAGTAAATGGCATTTTATAAGTTAAATTTAAAATTTAAATATTATAATTAATATCTAAGTAAATTAATTTTTTTAAATGCATTAAACTGATATAATGAGAGTGTCCTTATAATTGTTCAAAAAATTATTAAATAATTTCAAGGTACTCAAAATTTTATATAGGGATATCTTAACCATAAACATAAAAAAAAGTGCCGAACTATACGTGAAATTAGTGCAACAAGAAATTTTAATTAGCTTGTTTTGGACGGCTATATGTATGACACCACTATATCCTTGCCCGTCGCACCCGTGAAGTACATTCAAACACCCCTTAATTGGGTTCAGCCCTTGGCTCTTGCAAAGAGGCATATGCCATTCTCAATTCCATTCTACCATGCTCCCCACACAAAAGAAAGAACCATGTTGTGCCAATATTTAATCGAGTAGCTGTAAAAATATGATGCACTTGTTTGAATCGATCATAAGACCAAAGTAAGATGGAAAGAGGATATTATACAATATAATATAAGTAATATCAGAGTATAAACAAATGGTTACCGTGTGGAACTTTCGTAGCTCCAGCGTTATTGCTTTAAGCTTACAAAATGGTTTAGTGGGAACAACACAGCCGGATTAAAAATTGGAATATTTGGGGTTAAGGAATGCTACTTAAGGTTCGAACCTGTAACCCAATACTACTACGCAAGAAAAAGCAAGTGTTCTATTGTCTCAAAAAGACAAAGAAAAGCAAAAAAAGGGGATCATATGCATTGAGGTATTTGTCAAAGCTTAAAGTGCACCTATTTTAAAAATAATTTGTTTACAAAAATTTTAAGTTTTTTTAAGGAAAAAGTTTAAAGAGCAAAAGAAAATTAAATCATGATGTTTTAACATTAAAAATCAAGATGTCCAATTACAATAATTAAATGTATAAAAGAAAGTATAAGTCTTAATTTTATTAAACTTATTATATAACTATTATTAGGCCTTTTAATTATTCCTTGTCCCAAATTCAAAACTTAACTTTTAAAATAGTAATTTTTAATTCCTATAAATCTTACAATATGTTTGAATTAAAAGAAATAGAGGAGAGAGAAGAGAAATTTTTTTTTATTTAGTTATCAAAAAATTATCAGGAATGAAAGAAAAAAAAAATTACTTTATATATTTTTAATTTATTTATTTATTCAAATAAAATTTTTTTAAATATATATATAATTTTTTTTCCCTCTTCATTTCCCTTAGCCCGGGTCCGCTTTTAAGAATCCTGCAACTCCTCCCACCAACCTGTCCAGACCAAATCAATTGTAAGGATCGGTGTGAGAAATGGCAAGTTCTTAAAGGTGGACCCTAAGGTCTGAAGATTGTATATTGGGCCTGGCTAACTATAATGTAGGCGACAAGGATCCAAGGACTTTTAGGTCTAACTGCTACCATAATGATTCGGAATTAAAAACCTTACTCAATACTTGTGGACGGACGCATTGCCTAGAGCTATGAGAGGTAGAGAGAGAGCGGGTGTGTTTAGCAACGGGGCATGCGGACGACGGTCAGCGGGAGCCTTTCGGAAACCAAAGAAGGAATAGAGATGGGCGAATGGACGGGTCACCGGTAAGAGGACTAAGGAAGAAGCAAGACATTTGGGGATGTGATAGAAGGGTGTATAATCAAGCTTCAGTATTTTTCTTCACAAATTTCCCGGATGACTGGAGTCATGAAAGTATGTGGCTCACCTTCCGGAAATTTGGAAGAGTCTTGGCCATTTATTGTCCACCAAGGAAATCGAAATCAGGAAGAAGATTTGGGTTTGTGAGATTCTTAGAAGTTAAGAATGAGGTGGAATTGGAACGAAAGCTGGATCAAATCAGAGTAGGGACATCCAAACTCTGGGTTAACAGACCGAGGTTCAGGATGGAGGAGGGGAGAAACAGAGGAGATACAAAACCAGCTGAGATGAATCTTGTCAAACCAGGGAGGTCATTTGCAGAGGTTGTTAAAGGGAACCAAGGGGTGGAAGATAATAAAGGAAGTAATCTTCAACAAGTTTCAAGTGCTAGAGATCGCCAAAAAATGCAACAGAAGAGTATCTCGCTCAAACCACAAACGTAGGTATGGATCATGAAAACTAATGTGCGTGCAAGTGCTGGCCTGGAGTTTAATGTGAAAATGGAGGACCTCCTATGGCTGGAAGGGTGTTATGTTGGAATTGCACATTCGGTTAACATTATCTCGACCCTGCAACAAAAGTTCTTCATGGAAGGATATTTTTTTGTGTAAAGTAAGACCTATGGGGGGACGTTTGGTCTTATTGGAAGGGGGTGATAAAGACGAGATCAAGGACTTAATGGAAACAACCCCGGAATGGTTGGGGTAGTGGTTTGAGGAGGTAAAACCTTGGTCACCTTCATCGGTTGCTAAAGAAAGGTTCGTGTGGATTCGATGCCAGGGTGTTCCAATTCATGCCTGGGGGCTTGAGTTTTTCTCATCAATTGGGGCTGTATGGGGAAAGGTTATCTCCTTAGATGATAGCACCAGTAAGAAGATCAGATTTGATATCGGGAGATTTCTAATATCCACGCCCATTATGGAGTTCATCTCTAAATCCATGACCATCACAGTTAATGGTATGCCATATACAGTCAAAGTAATGGAGGAAGAGGCAACCAACGGCATTTTTTCCATGAAGTCTGATCATGTGTTCAGAGAATTAAGTGCCTCAGATGATCACAGTTCAGAATCATGGTCCCTAAATAGCGATGGCGAGGATGGCTATGCTGAATCTATTCATGGCGGAGGAGTTTCTAGGGAATATGGGAGAAGTTCAGCTGGTAGGGATGATGATGATGACATGGCAAAGGCTGATGACGGGATAGAAGGCCATGGAAGAGGGCAAGCAGAGAGTTGGATGGAGAGTTTCAACGTGGACATAACAGCTAGAAGAAAGAAATTTGAATTTGAAGATGATATTGACAGAATGATGAGTGCTGATGGTTCCAATACACAGGCTGAGAAGTTTTTTGAGGCAAGTGTTGGGAAATCTCAAAAGTCTCCTATCAGTAAGTCGGAAGAGATGACTGAGGGGGTAGGCTATGTACCAGATAGCCTGAGCATGCATTTAATGCAGAATCAGGGACATAATTCAAAAATGGTAATTCGATTGGGCCAAATTAACCGAACCAGGCTATAGAGGAGAAGTGGGGCAAGGGTTGCAAGCTGGAGCCTCAAGCTGGTTTGAGAGATGATGAGGATTGGGCCTCTTATTTGGGGCCCAATAAGGGCTACAAATCTTATGTAGCTGGTGTTGACGTGGAGATAAGTGAAACAGAGAAGGATAAGATTGAGGAAGATGAGGTGAAGCGGAGAAGCAGGGGTAGCTTGATGGCCGAGGAGGTTGAGGTGAATAGGAGAAGTAGGGGCAGCTGGATACCTGAGGACGATGTGGAGAAGCTGACAAGCAGGGGAAGCTTGGTGCATGCGGAGGACGAGGCTAATCGGAGAAATTGGGAGATCTTGATTAACGAGGAGGATGAGGAGATTTGGAAAAGCAGGGGGAGCTTGAGGCACGAGGAGGAAGAGGCGAATCGAATATGCAAGGGAAGCTTGATGCATGTGGAAGGGGAGGCGAAATCGCGACTTAGGGGTAGTGTGATGTTTGAAAAGGATGAGGGGAAACAGAGAAGCAGGGGCAGATTGTTGTCCGAGGAGGATGAGGTGGATAGCGTGAATCAGAGATGCAAGGGTAGCTTGAATCGGTTATAAGACCTTAGTGAAGAAAATTCCTTTTGGCAGGGATTCGAAAGTGAATCGGGGCAATTGAAAGCTTGGATGGGTAGAAATGAGAGGAAAATCAAGAAGCTAAAGAAGAAGAAAACGAGGTCATGTTCTTCGGTGTATAAAAACTCCAGAATTGTGGTTCAACCAAGGACAGAGAAGTTGCAGAGTAGACAGAAAAAACACCAAGATTTGGAGGAAAAGACTCCGGCATTCTGTCCAGGTTCATAAAATCAGGTAGCTGGTGACTCAATAGCAGACAGTGGCATTGCAAATAGAAATAAATGCTTACGGGTGGAGGGTAAAACCAGCAAGGAAATGCATATATGGGGGTTTGCCAGGGGAATTGGGGTTGTGGATCGTAGAAATGAGGAAGAAATTCTGCATAGGCTCGAGGCCATGGAGGAACGTGACAGAGAAAATTTTAGAAGATCAAAGGCTAGTGAGGCAGATATTGGGGGAATCAATTGTGGTGTTTTAAAATGATCTTTATGTTATGTCAATTAATGTAAGAGGTGTGGTTGGTCATGGGAAGAGAGTAGGGGTTAGAGATTTAGTGATTCGGGAAAAAGTGGAGTTCTTATCAATTCAAGAATCCAAAACAGAGGCAGTGGATCATCAACTCTGTAGAGCTCTTTGGGGATCGGAGGACTTCGATTGGGTTGCCCAACCTTCAAAAGGTACGGCTGGAGGTTTGATATGTGTATGGAATTCTGAATTATTGAAGAAAGATAAAATTATTGAAGGGGAAAATTTTATTGGGGTTTTTGGATTTTGGGGGGCAGCTAGAATCCCTGTTTATATCATTAACGTTTATTCCCCATGCGACCTTCCTAGTAAAAGAACACTATGGGCTTCTCTCAAAAACCTTATTTCTGAAATTGGTGAGAACTGGTGTTTAATGGGGGATTTCAATGTAGTAAGAAATGAATAGGAAAGGAAGGGGGGGGGATGAGTATAAGGAGAGAAATGCCAGAGTTTGATGATTTCATTAATGAATGTGGCCTTGTTGATTTACCATTAATTGGCAGAAAATTCACTTGGTATCAACCTAATGGAGCCTCGATGAGTAGGCTAGACAGATTTCTGCTCTTAGAAGAATGGTGTTTGAATTGGGATAATGTCAAACAATGGGGTTTAAACCGTTCACTCTCTGATCACTGTCCAATTGTTCTCAAAAACCAAATTTCAGATTGGGGCCCTAAACCATTTCGGTTCTTTGATGCTTGGCTGGAACTTCCTCAGTTTAAAGGTATTGTCATTGATATCTGGAACTCTACAGTAGTAAAAGGATGGAATGGGTATCGTCTGAAGGAAAAATTGAAGGAAACTAAAAAGGTGCTGAAAGAGTGGAGCAAGAATATGACTTCAGAGATTGACTTGGGCATACAAAAGAGCATTGATTCTATTGCCTCTATTGATAAAAAAGGTGAGGAGATGCCTTTGTTGCTAGAAGATATCGAAGCCAGAAGGACAAATTTCCTAGAGTTATGGAAAAATCAAAGGATGAAGGAAAGTATGTGGCGCCAAAAAGCTAGAAAGACATGGATAAGGGATAGGGATGCCAATATGAAATTTTTTCATAGATGTGTGAAAGGAAGAAGAAGAAAGAATGATATATCAAGTATCCTGGTGGGGAATCAATGACTTGAAGAAGTCCACAGCATGAAAGACGGTGTGGCTAATTATTTTGAGACATTGTTTAAAGAAGATGTGTGGCAACGCCCAGTGTTAGATGGGGTTGAGTTCAAGAAGATCTCAGATGAGGAGAGGGCAATGTTGGAAGCACCGTTTAGTGAGGAGGAAGTCAGACGAGTTGTGTGGAGTTGTGAGAGCACAAAAGCACCAGGACCCGATGGTTTCAACTTTAAATTTGTCAAGGAGATGTGGGGAACTCTTAAGGACGACGTAATGGGATATGTATCTGATTTTCACAAGCCTGGTAAACTGGTTAGAGGGATGAACTGCTCTTTCATTGTATTAATCCCTAAAGTCAATAGCCCTCAAAAAATTGAAGAATTCAGACCAATCTCATTTGTTGGTGTCATGTACAAACTGATTGCAAAATTGTTAGCCCGTAGGTTGGCTTCTGTTTTGAATGGGATTATTGGGGAGAATCAGATGGCTTTTATCAGTGTAAGGCAATTAGTTGACAGTGTGATCATCGCAAATGAGATTATTGATGAAGCCTAGAAAAGAAAGAAGAAAGGATTTGTGTTTAAAGCTGACTTTGAAAAAGCTTATGACAAAGTCTATTGGGAATTCCTGGATTATATGATGCTAAGAATGGGTTTTGGTCAAAAATGGAAAAACTGGATTAATGAATGTTTGAAGACAGCAGAAGTCTCAGTGCTTATAAATGGCAGCACCACTAGGCAGTTTAAGATGCAAAGAGTTCTCAGACAAGGTGATCCTCTCTCCCCTTTATTATTTTTTATTGTGGCTGAAGGTCTTAATGGCATCATCTCATTAGCTGCATCATTGGGGCTGGTTAATGGGATTGAAATTGGGCAGTGTGGCATGAATGTAACCTATCTCCAGTTTGCTGATGACACAATTGTGTTTGGTAATGCTTCGGAAGAAAATATTTGGGCTGTTAAAAGTATCATGAGGATTTTTGAGATGGTGTCAGGGCTTAAGATTAATTTTGGAAAAAGTATGCTTATGGGCATCAATGTTCCGGAAGAATGGATGACTAGGATGTCTTGTATTTTGAATTGCAAACAGGGGTCCTTACCGTGTAAATACCTAGGCATGCCGATTGGGAGTAAGCGCAAATGTATTGCCATGTGGAGACCTATGATTGACTCCTTTAAGAAGAAACTGGCCAACTGGAAAAATAGATTTATCTCTCTTGGTGGAAGGATCACGCTTCTTAACTCCGTGCTATCTAGTCTCCCTGTGTTCATGATGTCTGTCCACTTGCTGCCTAAAGGTTTGATTCTTATTCTTGATAAAATTTGTAGAAATTTTCTTTGGGGGGGTGGAGAGAATAATAGGAAGATCAATTGGGTTTGTTGGGTGAATGTGTGTAGAAGTAAATTGGATGGTGGGCTAGGTGTGAAGGATCTTAGAAAGTTCAATTTAGTGTTGTTAGGCAAGTGGTGGAGTATACTAGCGGAGGGAGAGGAAGGTCTTCTTTATAAGGTTATTCGTGAGAAATATGGTAGTAATGGAGGTAATTGGTTGAATTGGATCGAATAGGGGAAACAGAAGGGGTCGTTATGGTGGAGGGGTGTCTGTAGATTAGATTATTCATGCTCTAATAGAGTTGGCTGGCTCTTAGATGGCTTTAAACTAACGTTGGGAGAGGGTAACTTTGTCAAATTTTGGGAGGATGTCTGGATTGGGGACGAGACATTAGCCAATAAATTTCCTAGACTCTTTTTGAATTCTTTAGGCAGGACAAAGAGCATTTCTCAAATGGGATTCTGGAGCAATGGAAGTTGGAATTGGTCATTAGAATGAAGGAGACCTAACTTCTCCTGGGAAGAACACTCGATGGCGGAGCTGTGGAGGATGCTGAAGACTATCCATCCAAGTAAGGGACAAAAAGATCGATGGGAATGGAGGAATGACCAGGGTATGTATTCAACCAAATCGGGATATCAAGTTCTCTCTAGCAACCTCCATCAGAGTAGGAACATCTTGCATAAAAGAATTTGGTGCAGGCTAGTCCCCATAAAAATATGTGCCTTTGTTTGGAAAGTCCTTCAAGATAAAATACCCTCCAAGGTAAATCTGTACAAGAGAGGGATAGTTCCAGATCTCAATCTAGCCATATGCATGTTATGAAATGAGAGCATTGAAGATATAAACCATCTATTTCTTCATTGCAAGTTTGCATATGTAGTGTGGTCCAAATGCCTCCAATGGTGGAGAACATCTTCTGTTAGAGCTGACAATTGCTATGCATCCTTTGAACAACACGTAGCCCCCTTTAAAAATGCAAACATCAAGGCAGGATGGGATGCAGTTTGGTGTGCAACAATTTGGTCTATATGGAGTGCTAGAAATGAAAGGACTTTCAGAAATCATGACCAAGATGTCAATAGGACCTTTGAGTTGGTGCAACTGCGAACATTCCAATGGATCAAAACAGAACAGTAGGGTACTCTTTTAATCTATGTAATTGGATGTTGGAACCTATGAAATGCTTGAAAGATAAAAGAGGAGGAAATTATAGTGCTGCAGGACGGGGGCTAGGGGTGAATTCATGACAGCCGAGAGCTGTTTTTTATATACTGTTCTGTGCTATAGGATCAAGTGGGTGTGTCGGGTGTTGGTTTGTTGATTTGAACAGGGAGATTTGATGAGAATGCAAAATATGGCAGATTCCTCGTTACGGGTATAGTGTCGACACTATATTTGGGTGTCGATACCTTGTATTAACTGTTATGTTTATGGGTTTGGAGTACCCCTTGTATTCCGTTTTTTTATAAATAATATGTTCGCTGTTCAAAAAAAAAAAATAATGATTTGGAATTAAAATGTAAGTTAAACCCTTAATTTGGTTTGCTCAACTATTATAGGAGTCTTAAGTTGGTTCTTAAACTTAAAGATTCTAATTGATTTGGTCCCTAAAACTTTTAAATTCAGCTTCAAATTAGTCCTTTTGTTAAAAAATAAATAATGTGTCTGTTATTTGATAGTAGACGACCATTACTTGACGATAAAAGGCTGCTACTTGATGGCTACATGTCATATTGAATGTTAGTTGTTTTTGAATAGGGAACCATTTAAAGTTAAATTTAAAAACTTTAGAAATCATATTAAGGATTTTTTTTAGTTTAAGGACCAATTTAAGAATTCTTATAATAGTTGAGGGACCAAATTAGGGATTTAACCTATGTACTACCTAAATCCCGTCGGTTCTTTAAAAAAAAAAAAAAATTCCTCCTGTCTTTTTAAATTGTTTTAATGCATTGATTTTTTATAAATTAATGTGACAATTTTATATAAGAAATAAATAACAATTGAAAAACCAATAATTTGTTAGCCTCAATGAAAGGATCTCGATTCTTTATAAGTAAAATTTTAAGTTTGAGTTTTATGAATGAAGAGTTTTCTCTTATAAGGTTTGATGTAGTTTGATTCCGAATTAGTCAAAATCCAATGTAATTGCTAAATGTCAAAAGATTAATACAAAAAAAGAAAATAATAATTAAAATTTTTTTTTGATCCAATTAAATGAAAATATCCAACAAAAACTATGCATATTTTTTTTTTTCTAAATTATCATCTATTTACCATATAAAATTATCTAATCAAACTTTGTTCAAAAGTCAAAATAGGATAATTGATTATCTAAGCCTAACGAGTAAATATTTTGGGATACATGGTTTGTTGGTGGATGGGTGGTATTCCCTCCGTTCCATACTTCCACTATGCTTATTGTCTACAATTTTTTTTTTTTTTTTAATTTTACACATGTTTAGAGAATCTAAAAATTAATTAAAACTCTATAATTTAGCATTAAAATGAATAATTATTTCTGTTAAGTGAGAAAATCTCACTTTAAGTTTATATTAAAGATTTATGTGGCTTAACTATAAGGGGAGTTATTTCATTTATTGTCAATTGATTTTAAATTAAATGTAAACCTTATGTTGAAACTCACTTATACAATTTTTACAAGGTATTGAGTCTAGACTCGATTCTAAGAAAATCGGTTATTATCTCACCTAACAAAACCTAAAGTTCATATCGAGCCAACATTCATAACAAATCTACATGTGAAAGGATGTGTTGAGTGAGAAAATTTCATATTATAAAGAAGTATGTAGATTAAATAGAAGAAAAGCTACTCCATCTACAAACAATTAGTTTTAGATTAGATGCAAATTTTATATTCAAAACTATATGCTCAATTATCACAATTTCTAATAGAAAAGTCTATCATCTTTATGATTAATAGACTAAACTAAAATACTTAGAATTTTTCCCTAGTCATTTTTTTAGTAAATTTTAAGGGAGACATAATTTTTTTGCCATTTTTTAAGTACATTTGTTAATTATCATTTTTTTGATTTTTTTTCTCCAAACTAAGGATTTATGGACAATTCATGTTTTACCTATCTTATCCTTAAGAAAGATCTTAAAGATAAAGATATTTATTTTTGTGATAGGATAATTAATTAAAATAAATAGATAATAATAGGGTTAAATAAAGAAAAAAAATATTTGTTTACCTAAAAAAATTGAAAAAACAACAATTAATTTGAGACAAATTTAAAATAAAAATAAAACTAACAATTATTTTGGGATATAGGGTCTCTATTCCATAATAACTATTATTTTTTTACTTTTTCTTCAAATTAAGGATTTGAGAACAAATATATTTACTTATATTACCTTTAATAATAGTTAAAAGATAAAGTAAGCTTTTTTCTGAAAAAATAATTAATCAAAATAAATGAATTATGATAGGATGAAAGTAAAAAAAAAAAAAATACTTGTTAACCTAAAAGAAATGAAAACATGACCATTAATTTGAGATAAAGTTAAAATCGGAAAATGACAATTGTTTTTGGACAGAGGGAGCATAAAAAAAAATCTCTCTTATCTTTATCTTTTTTTAAGGTTGACATAAGTAAAAATATAAATTGTCTATTAAATCTTAATGTGAAGATAAAATAAAAAAACCTCTATTCTTATTTTAGGACAATATGAGTTATAGCATTTAATATATTATGTATTCACTCTATCATAAAATAACTATTTTTTTATTTTTTCTTCAAATGAAAAATTTAGGAATAATATTTGTATTTATTTTTAATACCTTTAAAAATGAAAAAAATAATAAAGAGAGATTTTTCATAATTAGATGATTAATTAAAATGAATGAATACAGATAACGTTAAAGTAAGAAAAAAAATACTTATCTATCTTAAAAAATAAATAAAAAAAAAGATAATTAATTTAAGAAAAAATTAATATACTTCTAGAAGATAGAGTGATAATTTTCTTCAAAATAAAGGAAGCTTAGCCTTTTGGGATCAAATGTAATAAGATATTTATAGTAAGCCTGAAAAAATCACGATTCTTAATTGATTCATCAAGAATTTATACTCTGCACTGGTAGTAACTTATTACGTACTCTCCTATGCATATATAGTCCAGGCCGACATAAAAATCTTACGCAATTTGGTATATTGATAAATAAATATCGTCTTATAAATTAAATTTAGGATTTAAGTTTTGAAATTAATTAAAACTTGGAAAATGATTTTGGAACAATTTTTTTGTATCATTTTTTTATATAACCTGACATGTTAATTAAATGATTGGTTTTTTTTTTTATTCATGTGAAACTCTTGATATTGAATGTATTAATTTATTTAATAACATGTGGAAGTTGTATCAAAAGTTAGTATAAAAAGGTTATCCTTATAACACCACCCTTAAAACTTAAGAAAATTAATTGTTTTAAATGCACAATGACGATATGGGAGGCATGCCCTTAAAATTGATCAAGAAAAAAATAGTTTTAAAGTACATGAAAATTAATTCAGGAATTGCCTACCAATATATATATATATATATATATGAATTATAATCTACTTACATACAAGTTTTACTCATCACATTTATATAAAATCTTAACAATTCCTCTCTCTACTTTCAATAGTTGAGATTATTTATTATTTATTTTATTTGTTAAAAATAATTATTGTTTTACTTAAAAAGTTATAATAAATCTCAACTATTAAAAATGAAGATATGAATGGTTAAGATTTTATATAAGGGTGGTGTGTGTAATGAAAAGAACACGATGAGAGAGAGAGTCAAGGCTCCGAGCAATAGACACAGGTCACAGACCAGTTGGACAGCACTGGGCTGAGAGTTCTCTAGAATGCGAGGGATAAGCAGGCAAAGGAGATCGATGGGTTCATGGCAGAGGGGGCATAACAACTATCAGAGTCAAAGAATATATAGGGAGTGGGGATATGACAGAGGGTTGAACAAACAGGCCACTATGTTCTTCTTCACAAATTTTCCAGATGAATGGAGCTATGCAGATATGTGGGCAACTTTTGAGAAGTTTGGAAGTGTTTTTGCAATCTACAGTCTGGAACGAAGGAGTAGGAACGATGGTAGGTTTGGCTTCATTAGGTTTATGGAAGTGAAGAATACAAGGGATTTGGAAAGATAGTTAGATCAAATTTGGGTTGAAGGACGTAAGATTTGGGTGAATCTAGTAGAATACCTAGAGGAAGAATAAGTGGCAAGGGAACTTGGAGCAATGGCACCTGGTCCTGGACTCTAAGTTGGAGACAAGAAT